GCGTCGAAAGATTTAGTTATAAATTGAATATATATAGTTTTGGAGGTCTCTGCTTAATTTCCGGAGAGAGAACAAAGTATCTAAGTCGATGAGCTTGTAATATTAGTGGTGACGAAATTTGGGAAAAGTCGTAGTCGTACAAATAGTTAAATTCCCAATAAAATAGTTTATAACTAGCAATCTTACCACCGTTTCTCCTGTATAATAAATGAAAATTAATGTTGCTTTGATAAATTTTTCTTTAAGATATTATTACCAATAGCGTGTTAAATTTAATATTTTACATAAAAAATTGATTAAATGTGTAGAAAATAATAATAATATGAACAATTTCCTTGTACCCTCAGTGCTGTACGAGTAGTACTTACAAAACCACGAAAAAATTATAAATAAACAATGGATGATAATTTGTCATGTTAATTTTTTAATTAAAAAAATAACTTACCACGTTAGATTGTTGTTTGGTTGAGCTGTACTTGAACACTGAGCGTTATGGCTTAAATAATTATGACTTGAGGCTGGTGGATTGAGGTTTGTAGAATTTTTTACATTGGACATAACGGCTTGGCTAGGATAGGCGGTCGACGAACAACATGCCAGCGCAGTGCTTTCCCTGATGCATGAAGTCGAAATCCGTCTTGGCGCGGCATTGCCGTACGCGTCAAAATGACTCGGACCGGAACAAATAATGTTAGCACTACCACAACGCGGTAACGTGGCCGTGTGCGAATCGTATTGGAGTAGACACAAATTGTTGCTGTTCGGACCCTTGGGCGGCGAGGACCCTGTGGAGGAAGACATGTGACCGGTCTGGTGCTGTACCAGACCGGTCGGCGATAGGTCTCTTGGCGATCGAGCCCGGCTGTTGGCATATTGGTAGCCACAGCCGACACTCGCGATGCCGCTGCTGTACACCGAACCCGTACAGCAGCGGTTAGACGACCTCATGGTGGCTGTCGCATACGCCCTAGACAACGCGGCCGAAGACGGCTGCAACGCATCCACGATGGACGACGCCCTCGTATACGCAGACGTGTCTTTTCTAGTCCCGTACACGTCGTCACAACGGTCGTAGTGGCCGTCGTAACCATCGTCAGGAGAAACAATTGGAACAAAACGTTCAGTCGGTTGGTATCTAAAAAGATTTAACCAAATAATTTAATAGTTCCGTAGATTTATTTGTAAACTCACCTCGCATAAATGGATTCGTTACGTTTGGCGTAGCTATCGTGGTGACGTCCGGCGTAGTCGAACCGTTCGACCACCGGCGACGGCGGTGACATGAAACTTTCAGACGTGCTTTGCGACACTGGTAAGTAATTGCTGCGATTGGGCGGACCGTGACACGTGTACCTGTCGTCGGATGGCCCATACGACCTACCCGCTGAGGTGTGGTTGCTGTTACTACTGCCCGAATACCTTTCGGGGGACGGGGGTGGCACGTATCGGTCCAGCGCCAGGTCGTGAACACGGTAGTGGCCCTCGATGGTGCCATGGTACCGTTCTGACTGCGGTGGCGGTTCCAGCAATGCTGCCGTCGAACGGTACAACGTTCCTCCGCCACCGTTTTGGTTCCGATAGTCTCTGCGAATTTTACAGTAATCGGTTCCATCGTGACCCGGCGGTAAGGGTCTCATATTGCCGCCATTTGGATCATTGTCAAGACATCTGAAAATTAAATTTTAAAAAAAAGCTAATCAAAACGTTTTTAATATTTTTTTGAAAACTTATACGATAAATGTATACAGTGACGCAACCACGAGGGTTAGAAGATTGTAATCTCCCACTCAAAAAAAATGATTAGAAATGTTTGAAATTTTTAGATTGATACAGAGCTACACGAGTATTATTCCTACTCTATTGAACGTTGACAACAGGAAACATCATTTATTGATACGTTTAGTAAAAATAAAAAAATTATCTTATCACTTTCACTGGCAATAGATGGACGTTTTAACTTGAATTAATAATTTGTTTAAAAACCTCCATGCAAAGTCAGTAGCGGCCTTTAGTGCGGGTGTAATTCTAAAATACTGTTTATACGTCATTTTTTTATTTTATTCATTCGTTTTAGCCCAAGTTGTCAAGAACAAGTAATTTATTCCGAAGACACGAACCGTCGTAAACATTTTATTCCATAAAAATAAGAGTTTAATTGAGTACAGTTGGAGACATATTTTAATTATTTTGTAAATACATATAAATATAAAAAATAAATAAGTTTTTAACTAAATGGAATTATCTTGGTAATGAAAACAAAATAAAAGAATATTAAATTTGTGACACTAACCTTGAGCGACAAATTATAACGTATTGTATTCTATATATTGTGTACAATGAACGATATACACTTACTAAAATTATGTCGTTATTCTTTAGGTTTTTCTTAATTTTGTGTACTTATTTAGCTTAAAAAAATGTCAAATATTATGAGGTCTTTTAAACCGTAGTTATGAAAACTATTTGTATAACAAATTAACGAACTGAATATATAATACTTATGACTAACATATTTTAGTTTAAAATTTATTCTTTAAAAAAATTATTAAAAGTTCAGGAAAGCATTTTTAAAAATAAAATTAATGTTTATTTCATAATTTTCAAGAAATTAGTCATAATTACAGAGTAAATTACATTCTGCTACGTAATATGCAATGTAATGATATGATAAAATACTTCAATATTGTTAATCACAAAGTACACTATTATAATATTTTTGATTTTATTTGATAATATAAATTGTTTTATTATAACCTGAAATTAAATCATATTAAGCTATAAAAGCATTTTTATAAGATATTAGGTGTTACCAAAGTCTCATTAATTATTAGATATTAAATAATCAGTCAATTGTCAGAGATAATTGATCGACAAACGAACGATAAGAGAAGCTTTAAAATGTTATTCTATTGTTAAAAATAATTGATGAAATACACCATATTTATATGAAGATTTTAATAATATAACTTTTGTATTATCACGGTGTGAAAACCAAAAGGTTTTATCTTTCATGGGCATTGTAAATATGAAAGATCCTTTTGGTTTTCATGCCACGTTATAAGTAATTTTTCGTAAAAAGATTATCAGCATTTTAGTGGTTCACTGAAGTTTCAATAAATGTTAAATGCCATTGATGAATTCCATAAAACCCATAGTTATGTATTGATGACAGAAATAATTACAAGGCATCAATTGGCTACGGAATTCTATTTATAAAACTTTATGAACTAAAGAAAACCTTCTTTTGAAAATTAATTCACTGATTAATAGTCTTTTATGATCGATTAATAAGTAATGGTATTTCGAAAAGACTTTTTGCGCAATATTAAATTATTCCAATGAAAACCTGTATTTTAAATTTACAACTATACTTGTTAATACAAGTAAAATGGTATAAAAGCATTTAAAAAATTGTGAATTGAATTTTAAATAGGTACTTTAATAAACTTTACAAGAGATAGATTCATAAGAACACATCAAATAAAAGTGACTTATTTATCATTTCTTGATTTACTGATTAATTTATATGATAACAAAATAACTAAATTAGACGTCAATTTTTAATTAATGCTATTAATTAACAATTAATTAATTATTTAATAACTATAACATAAACATTTTATATGAGCTAAAATCATCATCTCCATGGTCTTTATCCCAACTATTTGAGGTTAGTTTTGTTTTATGATTTGACAGATTTTTTACACCGGCTGTCGACCTGACGTAATCTTAATACAGCTTAGAGAGCCAGTAAAAGGGTAAGGTGTGTGTCATTATTAAAATTTTCGTATGGTCACCCATCCAGAAACCATCAAATAGCGAAGTTGTACATTCTTAGTGTTGTAATCGACACTAAGACGGCGTCTGATTTATCTACCACGCCCTCTTATGTGAGCGAAAATAATAATAAAAATATAAGGCGAAAAATTTTATTTAAAAAAAGTATTGGGGGAGTGGCTAACTAATCCCGCCTCCTTAATATTCCTAAATAAAAAAAAACTAAGCTTCTTAGTTTCACTAGATCATCACTAAAAAAAAAAAAAATTAATATATCTAAAAGTGCAAACCTAAATTTTTTTGGTCTTGGCTAAACTAGACTTTTACATGTAAAGGTCTAGTTTCGTCTTTTCTTGTGGCTTAACGATTACAATATTGATAGAAACAAATGAATATCTAATAAGAATCGATGTAGAACTTTTTTTATATAGACAACACGCATTTTGTAGAGTTATTTGTCCTATCATAATGTCCAAGCCAAAATAAACTGCATTTACAGTAAAGTTTTATTCTATTATAAATTATATCATGAATAGTAAAATTGAACTTATATTTTAAATTATTCTCTCAGTCTCGACAGGATACCAATACTACGAGTAAAAAAAAAAAAAAAATCCACGGGCGGTCAAACTTTTAGAATAAACAATTTTCTGAACTTTTTAGTGGTTAATACACATGAATATAGTTCAATGTTACAAAGGTATAGGTTTTATTTGTAAAAATTATAGGGAAATAATATTTTCTCGTGTATACTAGTAAAGAACACCCAATCCTTAATTATTAAGTACTTTGAATACTTGAGTTAAGGGTTACACAAAGTTCTAGTGTTCTGTTTCACATTTATTATATTATAGAAACTCTACTTTGATTTTTTCTACCATTATTAAATTTCCCCTATCTAAAGAAAGTCTAGACACATAAAAGCTACAAAGTAAATGGAAAACTAAGTAAAGGAAAATATTTTTTCAGAAAACTGTATAAAGATCTATAAAAAGAAAAAAAATCATATAAGATACACTTTATAAACAAGTATTATAATTATAAATTAGAGACAGGTAGTCGTATTCATTTTTTTTCGTTTAACGTTTAAATATATTTTAATGTTATTTTATAATTGACTTTAACGCTAAACAAGGTTTTGTATATTACGTTTTTAATCTTAAAACATTACATTTTTTAACGTTAAAAGGGTTCGAAACATAAGCAGTTTTTTATATAGGTAAATGATTACTTTTTTCTTACTTGGAATTCTTTTAAACTAACAATTATAATCAATCGGTTTAAAATAAACTACTTGATTACTCTCAAAACAAAAAAAAATATTTATTTCTATAAATTACATATAATTCTTAATTTATCAATTGTACATTTTTAGAATCATCCCTTACAACTTTCAGGAGTGTCAACTTCATTTTTTTTTAATGGCAACATACATATTTAACTAGTTTATAAAATAGGAAACAATCTAATTAAGAAAATGACTAATAGATTACAACTTTTGGACCAGTATTTCAAAAGTTATTAAAAATTTAAAGTAATGACTGATGGTGAGGAGTATGAACTGCTATTTTTATCACTTGTTATTTCCTAGTCGTACTCTTCCTTTAGGTATAAAATGAGAGTAATCTAGTGGATTTGATAAACCGATCACTCTAAATAAAATTTAAATTTAAAATGATTTTATTTTTGTTATAATAAGAACTGTTTTACTTTATAAATAGCATTATGATTAAAAATATTTTACGTTTATTGATATTATATATTTTTAGTTTTTCGATCAAGTTATGAATAACGTTAGTTTTTTTTTTTTTTTTATTCTGTTGGAATAATGTTTTGCTACAACCTGAGAAACATGGATATATAGGTTATGGACATTTCAGATGCCCATTTGTAAAGTATTTTTTGCTAAAATTTGTACATAAATAATAATCTTTAAAATTAGATAATAAATAAACCCTTTATTTCATAACATTTTTTTATAGGTATTACGAGTTAACCCAACCCAACCTATTACGATAGAAGTTATAATTATATTTGAATTATTTTTGATCTATTTATAATTACAATTAGTGTTTACCACTATTTAAATCAAATATTTTTTTTAAATTAAAACTGATTAACTTAAGAATAATCTTTGAAATTCTGTTTTAATAAGAGTATTTATAAACAATTCATTGAATTGGTAAGTTAAAGTATTTTGCTCTTAATCCAAAATGATTTTTCAAGGTTTGAAGATAAATAATATATACTATTATAATATTGTACTGACATGGAATACAAATATTTGTACCGATTACCAAGGTAACGAGTTGTTAAATCAAGAAAGGCATATTTAACGAGTTCTAAATACACATTAAACGTATGTTTACATTGTTAAGAAATTCTTAAATATATTATGTAAAAGTATAAAAAGGTTTAATATTTATTTAAAATTATAAATTGTAATTTTTTCAAAATTATAATATAGTAAACTAATAATGATTAAGAGAAGTTTTTTTCTTTTATTAATATTCAGCTATAAATTGGATTTAGAGTTTACTTAGAGTGATAAACTTTAAATTATTGTATTTTTACAAAAATGAGTAGAATTTATATAGATTTAGTAAATCAAGATGAAAAGAATATCTACTTACTTATCTATAACTTTAAGTGGTTATTTTAATTATATTTATGATTAATTGAATCTAACCTTTTGTATTTTCGTCTTTGTATATTAATTATATTGACTCAAAGTATCCATAGTTAAGAAACTTCCTTTGTAAGAGCGATAAAAATATACGTATAGAGTGTTCAGTAAGTAAGAAAAATGGTTTCTTCTATTATTCTCATTTTTTGTAACAATTGATCTGTTTTAGAAATTTTTGAACCTCTGCATATACATATTAATTGTATAACTGGTTAATCTAAATATTTCTGTGTTAAAGTTCCAATTTTATTGTTATTTAATTTGAGGTTAAGCTTAACGTTACCTTTATCCGCTTAAATTATTTTTTATATTTTTAATTCAGAAATTTAATACTTTGTTTTTAACAGAGAAATATTAAAATACATCAAATAAGAATAAATTATTTTGGTGGTTGGTTATTTATAAAAAATCAATTTTTTAAGAAAGAAAATATTTTTGAATAATACACTATTAATAACTAAAAAAAAAACCAGCACAGGGAGGTCGTGGCATAGTGGTGACGTGGCATAGTTGGATCAAGTATAATGATATCTGACAGTGATTAAAATCACTATAAAAAAAAACGCTTCGATGCAAATCTTTAGATAGTGTTTAATTTTAAAAAATTGGTGGATTATTCCAAAAGCTATATGATCTGCTATTTCCTTATTAATATCCTGATTAATGTAAAGTATGTCGAATAAAAAAGAGATTTTTAAAAAATATTATTTCTCATAAAAAAATGTATTGATCCATACATTTTCCAAAAAGTTATAGCATTATTAATTTAAAAATATAAAAAAGAATTATTTTACAAAAATCGCATTTTTTTTATTAACTTTGATGTCTATTTTCACCGTGAAGACATAATAAAGTATATTACATTACCTTTAATTTAATATATATATAAAAGTGTCAGACCTTGGTTATTTTAGCTTCGATACGAAGCTAAAATAACTATAACTGTAAATAAAATAAAATTCACTATAACAACATTAATAATTTTAATATTTAGTTTTCTGTCTTATGGTCCGTGGTTACAGTTTATATTTGAAGTCGATATTTATTCATAATACTATAATTAAATAATCGTACGTTATATATTACATTTCATAGTTATATTTTGATAGCCGTGTAGAATAAAATGGAAACATAGTGGAAGATTTTTAGAATGTTTTTAAGACATGATTAAGTAATAAAATGTGTTATGTAAAACCAGCATAAGAGTATTTTAAAATTAATTTCCACTGATAGAAAACATATGCCTGGTATAATCAATTAATTCTCATAAAGGATAAAATTTTTAATTAATAATATATTTAGTTGCTGCATTTCTGGAGAAAATTTTGATTTATTCGTGATTAAAGTTATCTAACAATGTATCGCTTTCATTAGAATTTGCTGTGTAGATTGAAAATCATTGTATTCAATTATAATGGTTTTGTTTAGTTTTATAATAAAAGAAACTGTTTAATTTTACATTTTAACCGTCTTCAACTCTTGTATACTCATTGCGTGTCAAAAAATGAGGCGAATATCACATATTTTTATACTGCGAAGACAACAAATTGTAGCTAACATCTAGATAATATATTTTCTTATCTAGCCATCAAGACTTAACATAAAAAAAGTAAAACAGTTATTTATGTGTATTTTATTATTTATTAACTCAAATTTCTAATCTTTCTTGCGAGTTCATATATATTGCAGTTCTATTTTTCCTCTAAAGAAATAATAAATGATCCCATATTTGTATATTTATAAAAATGAAACACTTATGTGATGATACTGGTGTAAATTTCTATTCAACTGTCTGTTATAAGAGTACAATGTATATGACTGTCCCTTAACATCGTCACAATATTATATTTCACCTTTCCTAAATCTTGATAATTTGCAAATAGAGTAATCATTCCTCATATCCCCAGATAAAGTATATACATTTTATTTTGATGGATTATAAGTTAATAAAACATAGACTCAGTTTTATTAGAGCTACTAATTCATCAGAAAATTGTTTTCGAATATCTTTCACACTTTAAAATACAGCTTTTCCCCCTGTTATTTGTCCTTCAAATTGTATAATCTTAAGTTTTTAAATGGAAACATACATGTTTACCTTGCTTACAAATAAGAAAATGATATAACTATGAAAATAACCAATCGATAACAGCTTGTGAACTAAACTAATTGTTTTAAAAGATATTAGCATTTTTATATAATGGCGGGAGAAGTAGTGCGATTCATAAATGTCTTAAAATAAAAATATGAAGTGTTAATACTTTCAAAATACTGTATCAAAAGCTGTTATTAAATGCAACCATATTCTTAGTTTGTTTCTTATTTGTAACCTAGTGAAATGTTTATGTTTCTATTTAAAATGGTAAAGATGATAAAATTTAAAGGAGATAGGATTAAATTTTTTTGTGTTAATTTAAGTGTGTAGTATCCTAATATATTCTCAAAAGAAAAAAAATATATTTTATCTTATATTAATGAAAATATTGCGTGAGCCGATAATTCTGTTTCTAAATAATACTAAGTATATTATATCGAAGGTTTTAAATGTAAATATATTTACATATTAAATACAAAAATCTTATCAACGTGATCTTTCAAATTTGTGTTCACAGGGAAAATATAAAAACAAAATTTAATAATTTTAAAAATAATATAAAACAATATTAAATTTTGAATGTATATTGATTAAAATTGATATTTCAAATATTTGAAACTAACCTTGTTTTTTTCAGCTGATATTCTCCATGTGAAAATGAAATGATGTTATTGCCGGAGGTATTTGGGTACACAGTGCCAGCTCTACTAAGGTCAAATCAAGTTTTTGTTATTCGATTTAATTGAAAATATTCAACCTGAAAATAAAATAAAATAAATTTAAAACAAAATCTCTTTTTAATCAAAAATGTATTTATTTTTTGGAATAATTACATTTGTATATTACAGTATACAATTGACTGTTTCGAGTATATTAGAGTTTTTCTCATTAAGAAACGGCCTATGTTCTAAGAGCAAGAGCGAATGAAAATAAGAAACGAAATAACGATGCATCAAATTCATGTCACTTTCCAAAATTGCAAGAAAAAAAGTCAGACTAGACTCCATTGATTGAAATTCTATAGACTAACAATTTGCTTAGTAAATTTTGGATAATAGGTCAGCACCTATGTATTGTAATGGATTTCTCAATTGTAACTGATATAATACTATCTTCGTTTTCCAAATACTCTGTTTTTTGATTATTTTATTTTTTGCCGAATCAAAGTAATTTTAAAAATAAAATGATTTATTTGAAATTGTATAATGTTATATTTACTCAATAAACACGAAAAAAATCGTGTAGATTAATTGTTTTTTCACAATTAATGAACTATAAATCAACTAATTAGTGTCGAAGAAGGGAAAGTGAGGTAAAATCATTAAAACTTATTTTTATTGTTATCGATTACAAACAATGGTATTGAATGTGCAATTAAAATAAACAAATAATAATCACGCAACACGATATTAAATTAGGTCACCATTGTAGAGTAATTGTATGGCCACCCTTAACCCACTACCTAAAAAATATTAATATTTTAACGAATTCATTATAGTTTTGACTTGTTTAACGATGATATTTTAATTTCGCATCGTTTGTATGAAAGCTAAATATTAATATGCATAGTCTTAAGGGCAGTTCTACGTATTCGCAAACGATTTAAGTAACGAATTTACATTTCTGGTTATCTTGTTTTTAATTATTTTTTTAAATTTGTTTTACCAACATTTTCTCTTGGAAATATTTTCTAAGAAAAGTTATTGAAAGGAAGAGTAAAAATAAAATTCAGAGTTTCATCTTTATCAAGTTTATTGTTATANTTATATATATATATATATATATATTGTCAAAGATTTACTTGTATTCGAAATTATAAAGAGTATTACGCATTCTCTCTCAAATAAAATGAGAAATTGAAAATTTCATTTCAATTTAATTTTCCTTATAACTTGAATATATTTATAGAATTTTTGTAGAAGTTAATGAACATTATTTCAAAATATCTTTGTCATGAGTCATTAATTTTGAGCATAGATTATACCCTTCACCAACATTCATTATAAAATATATTTTATCTAAATAGAATTGTTCACTATTCAAGTTAAAATGGAAATGATAAACTTATTTGTTCAACATAAACTTGTAAAAGTTTTTCTAAACGTGCAGTATGTGTAAAGTCATTTGTCCTTAAAGCCAAATACTTGACACAAAATTTGACGATTAATAATCAGAGCTATTTCAGAGTTAGGTAAGTGTTTTATGTAATGTGCTATTAGATTTAAGTAGAGGTTTATCACCATATGAACGAATCTGACATTCGTAAGAGACGTTTTTGTAGGGCAAAGCACATTGAGCGCTATGAAATAATGGAGCTTCGCTTCGGGTAAAGAATAACGTTGTTTGCTTAGTGTGCGCTGTTTCGGTGGGAGCTTTCTGTTCGTATATTGTGCGGCTGTCTGATCAACTGTGGTGTAGGCGTTTACCAGCCGGTCGATTTTTTTCATTTCTCAACTACGTCCAGCGCACATTGCTGAGGATTTTATGTCGTCGACAAGGCACAAGAGATTGGGCTACCGTTAGTGTACAATGAATTACTTTACTCCCTCGGTTTTTTTTATAGCTTTATAAAGAGGTCAGGCCTCAGTGATCTTGTTTATCTTACCATACTTCACATTCTTGATGTACACTGTAGCTATTTCCATGTAAAAATATTGACTGTTTACTCACAGTACATAATATTTAAATATTTATAGTAAGTAAAGAGAATATGAGCATTTTATATGCTTTTACGGATTACTTCTTGAGAAGTTATAATAATAATAATAGTGTCTATACTAGTTAGTATGCATCTCTTATTTTGAAATCTTATACAGTTATAAAGTAAATTGGTCAAATCTAATGAATTTTATTTATTTAAATACAAAAAAGTTTCAATGAAAAAAGTTTTTATGGACATGTATTCAAGAAAACTTTCGTTATATGATATTTATTTTATCGCGGACAACGTGAAAAATTACAATTCTTTACAATCCAATGAAAATATCTTAATAAAACTTTTTAAAGACTATGTTTTTTGGAAATCAGTAATACGCGCGGCATACAATTTATACATGAATAGTAAAAATGATCTTTTCGGTTATTAAATAGGTATTTTACTCAATACATAATGCTATGACCCTTCTAGTTGTTTAAGAAAAGTTGAATACCACTTTTGCGTTGCAAAATTGTTGTTAAAAAAAGCTAATTACAACAGTTTCCATTTAGTTACGTAGTCAAAAAATTTGTTTTTTTTTTTGTTTGTTAATAGTAGTATAAAAGTTAAGCAATATTTCAGCTCTTTTATTAGTTTAAAATAAATACTACGAATAACATTTTTTATGCATATCCATATAAAGAAAAATAAATATATTGATTTGGTAATTTTTAAAAAAGTTGTGGCAATTTTAAGTAAAAAAACCCAGCACAATGAGGTCAAAATATATCCGACATTTTTTTTTCCATAATAGAGTATATTACATTATCTTTAATTTAAGATATATATATATAAGTGTCAGACTTTCCGGAACAATTTCAAAAGTTAAGTCGAAAAAGTTCATTTTTTGTGAAAAAGTTGTCATTTTAAATCCCCCCCTGTGGGAAGGTAAAGTGTCAGATTTATAGAAAAAATATATTAAATAATATGTAAAAAAATCATGAATCTATAAAAAAAAATTATATTGATTTAGTCATCTTTAAAAAAGTTATGGCAGTTTTAAGTAAAAAAAAATTTTAAAAATATCGAAAATTAGTGATTTGTAATTTTTTTGGAGATACTCTCATCTGAAATTTTTTCAATTTTTGAGGGTAATGTCTTCGACTAGATACGATTTTTGATCTTTTGACTTAACGTTGAAAGAAATAGGTTCGCATCGAAGTTAAAAGTGTGATATTAATAATACGTTTAAAATGAGTATTTATTTTTTATTGATTTGCATTTTTTTAATATTAAAATAAATTTATTTGTTTTTTTTTTACCGATTGGATTACCCTGAGATAATAATATTATCCAAATATCATCTTGATACTATGGTCATAACTTGAACATTTTATTGGAATAACTAAAATAATATTTTCTATTTCATAAATTTTTATAAAAATACTGACGGGAAGCGTCTCTACCAATGTGCTATATAGTCTCCCTTTTCCCCCCAAATAGTAATTGATTTTTAGGGTTACTAATGTTTCTATACTCTATTAAAACTAATCTGATGCTATATACTATAATAGTGTATAAATTTCAAGCATATTATCGTTGTAGAGATAGCTGATCATAAGAACCATTATAAAATTTAACTTTTTTTATCTTATAATGCATTATTTTTTGTATAAAATTAAGTATTACACAATAATAACGCTCAATTTTTTAAAAAAGTGATTTTCAAATTGATTATACAATGATAATAAAAACTAATCTACGACTAAACTTTAAGACATTACATGTGATTTTTGTTCAAAAAGTTTTTGACAATATGATAACTATAAAATTATTTGAATTGTATAATTTAGTAATATATAAATCAATTTTGCCGTTCAACAATATGTGAGATTTTAAAATGATTTCAATTAAAGAAAAGTCATAATAAAAACTTTGTTTAATTATGTTTATCATAAAAAACATCTGCAGATAAAATTTAAATTATATACACATTAATGAGTGTATTAATATTAAATAATAATAAATTAAGTATTAAATTAGATTTAAATATTTCAACATTCATGTGTTATACATTATTTAAAATTAAGATATAATATATTTTTATTTCTTTAATTATAATGAAAGGTAATATTTAATCATAATATCGGTGAGATAGTGTCTGAGGGAGATTACTTTAGTTTGTACTGAATTCATTAAATGTATAATACCCATGGGCTATTTAAAACTATTTTATGGATAATAATGAGTTATCTTCAAAGTTCACTGAATTAGCTTACTAATAACAACCGTTAACGATGATTTAATTGAGATCCTTATTTAAGGATATTAATAAATTAAATTTAGTACAAAAATGTAATAAGTAATTATTATAAATTGTTATGAAAATATTTATACGGACACAATTTCTTTGTTTGTATATTTTATAAGTTAATCAAATATTTGTTTATTTATATGTATAAATATATTCAGTTATTTTATTATTACTGAATACAATTATTAATTTATCGGATATAATATCTATAAAGTGATCCAAGAAAAGTATCTACTCAAAAATTTTATCGATCAATGTTTAAATCAATAACTCCAAAGAATCAATAATGTATTTTCTAGGCGCGTATTTAAAATTATTATTTTTTAAATAAATATTATAGGAAATTTTTTCATAATTTTTTTGGAAGTAATATTTTTGGTCAAATATTTGGTTGTCGAATGAGTTTTAGGGGAGCTCTTTTTCTTCGACCATCCATCAATACAACCTTGAACAGTGCTTTTCGAAGAAAAAATAAAATAATGATAAGATCTCTCTTTTTAAATAATTATAACTTAAACAAAAATTCAATTAAGCGCGTACGAATATCATTTACTTGAATTATTCACAATTTTTATGAATTCGTTTTTTTCAAGTGCAATTACATATTAATAAATATGTATTAAATACAAATTAAAAATATGTTACAAAGTAACATATTTTTTTAATATGTTAACAACGTAGAACATACTAAAATGCAGAAGCAAAGTTAGCATGAATTATAAGGGTCTAAAATTTAAATTAAAATAATGTAATTTTCTATAGAACTAATTTTCGACAAAGAGAGATCCACCCCTATTAAAATATGTTT